TGGGGGGCGAGGGGGAGGGTTGCTGGGGGCTCAGGATGCAAGGCCCAGTTGAGGGGTGGGAAGGATGGGGGTTCTGGGGCCCCATGGGACTAGAAGCTGTACAAGAGACAGTCACTGCCCCAGAGGGTTTACAGTCTATCTAGACAAGACAAAGTATTATCCCCATTTTACAGCTGGGCGCTGAGGCATGGAGAAATTAAAGCTCAGATCCTCACAGGTATTTTAAATCAATAGGCGTTAGGCACCTGAATACCTTTGAAGACATGAGCCTAAGGTCGGGTCGACACTTAACGATTAGATCAACCTAGCTATGTCGCACAGGGTGATGAAAAACTTCGTACCCTCAACAACACAGGGCGACTAACCCCGGTACAGATGCAACTCGGTTGACAGAAGATCAACCTAGCTACCGCCTCTCAGAGAAGTGGATTAACTACATTGATGGAAAAACCTCTACTGTCGATGTAGAAAGTGTACACTGTGCTGTTGTAGCGGCTACGGTGTACACATGGCCTAAATGACTTGCCCAATGTCAAACAGGGAAGCTGTGGCAGAGTTGGTGACTAAAAGATTTTCTGCGAGAGCATCTTTCCTAAGAAAAAGCCATGGGTGAGTCACTTAATATCAATGTTACATGCTCTTAAATTTAATTTAAAAAACTATTGTTCCTGGAAAGATAATTCACTATCTAACGCTGAAGGAAAACCTATTTTAATACCGTCAGATTTTGGTCTTGGGGCTTGTCTACAAGGTAACTAAAACCACAATAACTAAATGGGTTGTAATTCGCATCTTCAGTGCAAGTATGTGTGAGGACACATTTAAAAATAAGAATGTCTGATTTATATATAATTTTAAGCTGATTTTTAATTATGTAAGTTATATCAAAGTAGAGCACTCTTATTTTGGTTCCAGTTACTGTTCAGACAATTCCTTGGATTTCCTGTGTCTGATTCCCCACTGCAATCCTCCATCTTTACATTGGTGTAAATCCAATTTTCAGCAGTGATTTCAGCAGTTACATCATCATAAAAGTGAAGTAACAGTGGTGACTTAGGCCCCGTGCCTCTGTTGCACAATCAATATTCATTCAAGAGCAAACCGGTGACCGCCAGAGCAGAAGCCAGACCAGTCACGCATGCTATAAAGATTTCCTGGGCTTGTCCTCAAGCAAAAGTTGTACTGCTTTAAGTGGTATAGTTAAAGAAGTAAAAGCCCCCTAGCCTGGACCAAGTTATACTAGTATAAAAAGTGTTTATACTCGTATAGTATAGAAGAGGAATGACCTATATGGATACTTAGCTCTTACATAGAAGTTTTCATCCCTAGATCTCAAAGTACTTTACAAAGAGGTCAGTATCATTATCCCCATTTTACAGATGGAGAAACTGAGGCACAGGATGGTGACGTGACTTTCCCAAGGTCATCCAGCAGGACAAAACCAGGACTAGAACCTAGGTCTCCTGAGTCCCCAGTCTAGTGCTCTATCCATTACGCACCTTTACACCCATATAACTGTGTGCACACAAGGAGCTGTACCAGTAAAAATCACCCCCCTAACTGCGAGTTATACAGGCACAACAACTGAGGGTACTAGTCAAAGTGAATGCAGCAGGTAGGAACTAAGACCACCAACCTTCTCAAAGGTAGATCTGCCCAATATCACCAGCTTTGGCTCTTTTCTTGTCCTGGTTCTTTGATTATTTTGATCTGTTGATTTTTACCATCCAGTTGGTATCATATGATGTTGCCTGAGGTGGAAAAGCCTGCTGCATTCACACGTCCACAGGCAGGGTCCTTTTCTGGGGTCCGTATTCCACATAAAGCCGACTAAGAAGGTTTGAGGCTCTTTAGTTCTGCTGGAGAGTTGACTGTATCTGCAAAAGGAAGAGCTCCCTGCAGGGACGTGCCCTCCGATTTCCTTTTTATCTCCAGGGCTGACCCTGCGTGGTTTAAGTTGAAGGGAAAGTCAGATGTGGAAAGGGCGGAGATGGCAGGGAGGAGGGGTTATGCTAAACCCAGTTGCGGGGGCTCTGCCTTTGCTCCGTGGCCCAGCCCCTTAGAATCAGAAATGCGATAATTCATAGTTAGTGGGAAATGTCCTAGGGACGCTCTGTACTTTCCTGTCCGTATGCTACGGTGTGGAATCTGCACGTTTCTGTGGAAGAGGCCAGTGTTCTCGTCTAAATGACAGCTGGTTACACAATTAACTTTTTCACTGCTGGCCCACTACCACACCTGCTGGGCTGCCCTCATTCCTCAGTATTTCACGGAAATCAACAGAGCATTAAAGTGCACGTAGAGAGATTCAACTCCACAGCAGGAGCGCTACCTGCACACCTCAGTCATTCAGGAGCACTGCTGGGGCAGCCAGACAGGATGTAACCAGGGCACTGAGCGGCGTGGCAGTCTCCTTCTGCCTGGATTCCCAGGCCGGAAAGGACCATTGTGATCATGTAGTCTGACCTCCTGCATAACACTAGGGTTACCATATTTAAAAAATAAAAGAAGAGGACACTCCATGGGGCCCTGGCCACGCCCCTTTCCCAACCCCGCCCCTTCCCCGCTCCAACTCCGCCCCTTCTCCAAAGTCCCCGCCCTAACTCCACCACCTCCCCTGAGCGCCACGCATTCCTCCTCCTCCTCCCTCCCAGCCACGCGAAAAAGGCTGCCCGAGCGCTACCGGCTTCACGGTTTGCCAGGCAGCCCCCAGACCCTGTACCCCCGGCCGGCGCTTCCCCAGCGCAGCTGGAGCCCGGGAGGGGAAGCGCCCAGCCGGGGGCGCAGGGTC